CAGTTAACATACAAATTTGTTCAATCATGTCTTTTTCGATTCCTTATTGACTAGGCAGGAGATATTCCCGCAGTAGGTTGCCGTTTCTTTTTGCCAGCCAATGCTATATAACTCGGTCTGTCCTGCTGTGCAACCGATAGCTGGGGTAGAAGACACGGATTTATACCTTTCCCTGTCTGGAATTCGTTTTCTCATTCCGAGCCGATATTCATTACATCCTCCCGTTAATATATCTAAAAATTGCGTTGTCCAAATCGCTTCCATTAAACAGTCATAATCGGTATGGATTAGGAAAGAGATTATCCTCCTGTCAGACTGTAAGAATGGTTTAAATGTTTTAGAATGTAGCACAATTTTGGTTGGTACATGATGGCAATAAATGTTCGAAATCTCCCCATAGATGAAGAAGAGACTCGAAGCAAAAGAAATGTGGCTCTACAGAAGGATGCTGAGAATACCATGGACTGAATATGTGAGCAACGACGAGGTTTTAAAGAAAATGGAAAGAAAAAGGACACTTACATGTAACAAGAGGAGGCAGCTGAATTTTCTGCAGAAGGATGCTGAGGATACCATGGACCGAATATATGAGCAACGACGAGGTTTTAAAGAAAATGGAAAGAAAAAGGACACTTATATGTAAGAAGAGGAGGCAGTTGAAATTTCTACAGAAGGATGCTGAGGATACCATGGACCGAATATTTGAGCAACGACGAAATTTTAGAAAAGATGGAAACAAAAGGGAAACTTATATTAACAGCAGGAATAGACAGTTGTCGTTCTAGGACACATAAAAGGGACAGAGGGCTTGGAAAATCTGATACTCCCAGGACAGATTGAAGAATATACAGACGGAGAAAAACAGCGCATGACATTAGTGAGCTTAGGTAAATGGATGGTGGAAAAGGGTTTAGGAGAAACGACAAAAAAACTATTAAGAGCTACAAAAGACAGGAAATTGTGGAGAGGCATCATCGCCTACGTCCTGAGGGGACACTAGTTAAAGAAGTAGTATATTTAATCATAGAGGTCAACAGTTTTCACAGTGAAACTGGCATTAACCTACGAATGTCAACATTTTTCAGGATTTGCTTTTATATAAAAAAAAAAGTACAGTTGTTGACTGAATTTTTTGTATCAGGGGTTATCACTTTTTTACTATATTTGTATTCGGACCATTGTCGTAATCTTTGATGTTTTATCAGAACGTTTCGACCGTTGTACCCTCCTGCCTTCTTCAGGTTTATATCGATCTGGTTAACCTACAGGGAATTCCTAACTGAACCTTTAATTTTATCTACGGGTTTAGACTGTTGTTCCCCTGCTCATGTCTAAGGATATTGTCTAGTTCTTACGTTATTTAGCATGGTTCAGTTATTGCACTGTTAAATTAAACGTTGTAATAAAAACAACAAAGATGAGGAAAATAGTTCGATTATGAATAAATAATAGAGTTTTGAACTGTTATGTAATATCAGTTATTTCTGGCAGTATTTTTAAGCGCAGTACTAGATTGGCGTTAAGGTCTCACCATTTTACAGTTGAAATCGTTAGATATAACCGTGAGTTCTTTGCTAACAGTTTCTTCTCTCGCACTTCTCGCTTGTGGAAATCTCTGCCGGCTTCTTGCGTTCCAAAATTTAAATGTAATGTCAATCGTTATCTTCTGTCTTTTTAATTCCCATTCTTTTATAGTTCTCTCTCTTTTTAATAATGTTTTTCCTCCCAAACTACGTAAAACCGTGCGTCTTTGTGGCTTTATTGCCTTGCTTGTGGTAAAATAATTAAAAGAAATGTTGGTCAATCTCCTCACAGATTATGAGGATTGGCGCCACTGAAATATGATTCTGCAGAAGGATGTTGGGAATATCATGAGCTGAACCTATGAATGATGAGGTGTTCAGGAAAATAGAAACAAAATGAAAGCTTATATTTAGAATCAGATGGAAAGAGCTGAAATGTCATGTCAAATTTTACTGTCCTCCCCCACTTCAATAGATGGAGATAGGTTGGACTATCGTCCGGCTCACACTCCACTAGTTTAGCTATTGTTTCCTGTTTAAGGTTGAGTTTCCGGTTCCTTCCAAAATCTTTTCATACTTTTTCATTCCCAGTAACTTCTTGCGTCTTAGAGACATTGTTGCCTTGATTGGAATGGAGTGAATTGATTGTCTGTCTGTCTGTCTCTCTCTCTCTCGTATATATATATATATATATATATATATTAGTTTTGTTGGGTATCTTTTCGTTTTGGTTCTTTAAGTTCCAAATACTCTGCATTACAAACACATTGGTCGTTTAGGATGATATCGGGCAACATCTTCGCTTGATTGTAAGGACAGAGTGAGAGAGAGAGATGCGATGGAGCTGGCGGGTCTGAGGAAGCAGGAATCGCTGACATCTTTTGGTATCCGCTTCCGATCAACCACCTGCCATCTTTTCCCCGACCCTCTCGCCCCAAACCCAACACAAACATGATTTCTCATCAATGGCGGCTGTAAAGTCACTGAATAAGTGAACCGTTCGATCGATTCAGAGACATATTAATGTAATCCCAAATCTCAGTTCTTTGCTTCCTTTTTTTTTTTCTTTCTTTCTCTTTTCATTCTACACCCCCCCACTCCCTCGCTCTCTCATTATCGGTTTCTTTCGTTTGTTGGGTGTGATTCCTTGTTCTTGGATAGAATTTCTGCCATTTCCATATGCCCTGCTTACATTGTTTTGTCTTCTCAGACCTTTGTATTATGACAATGTTCTCAATGACCTTCTTTCTCGCTTTCACTTCGTTTTTTTTTCTTTCTTTCTTTGTCATCTCTTCCCGTTCTTCGTTTTGTTTTGGCTCTTTCTTTCTTTCTACCTCTTTTTCTTCCCATGTATGCCTTCTCTCTTTTTCTTTCCATATTTCTCTTACTTTCTTCTCATATTCCTATTTCTCCCTCTCTTTCTTCCAAAAAGCCTCTTTGTCTCTCTCTTTCCATATTTCTCTTTCACTCTGTCTCTTTCCATATTCCTCTTTCACTCTCTCTCTCTTTCCATGTTCCTCTTTCACTCTGTCTCTCTTTCCATGTTCCTCTTTCACTCTCTCTCTTTCCATATTCCTCTTTCACTCTCTCTCTCTTTCCATATTCCTCTTTCACTCTCTCTCTCTTTCCATGTTCCTCTTTCACTCTGTCTCTCTTTCCATGTTCCTCTTTCACTCTCTCTTTTTCCATATTCCTCTTTCACTCTCTCTCTTTCCATATTCCTCTTTCACTCTGTCTCTTTCCATATTCCTCTTTCACTCTCTCTCTTTCCATATTCCTCTTTCACTCTCTCTCTTTCCGTATTCCTCTTTCACTCTGTCTCTTTCCGTATTCCTCTTTCACTCTCTCTCTTTCCGTGTTCCTCTTTCACTCTCTCTCTCTCTTTCCATGTTCCTCTTTCACTCTCTCTCTCTTTCCATGTTCCTCTTTCACTCTCTCTCTCTTTCCATGTTCCTCTTTCACTCTCTCTCTCTTTCCATGTTCCTCTTTCACTCTGTCTCTCTTTCCATGTTCCTCTTTCTTTCTCTCTTTCCATCCTCTTTCCATTTTCTTTCCATGTTTCCTCTTTCTCTCTTTCTCTTTCCATGTTCCTCTTTCTCTCTTTCTCTTTCCATGTTCCTCTTTCTCTCTTTCTCTTTCCATGTTCCTCTTTCTCTCTTTCTCTTTCCATGTTCCTCTTTCTCTCTTTCTCTTTCCATGTTCCTCTCTTTCTTTTTATATTCCTCTTCCTCTCCATATTCTTCTTTCTCTCCATCTTCCCATCCGATATATATATATGCACACACACACACACACACACACACACATATATATATATATATATATATATATATGCACACACACACACATGGAGACTGAGATCAACACCGAGCGATCAAGGTCTGTGTAATGTATGCATCAACGTCGTCTTCATGCCATGTGTGTTGCATGTTGACTCGGTTGATATGTTGGTCAGTGGTACATTATCGGTAACTATATATATATATATATATACATATAGTGCTGGTGTTAATAAAACAACTCTCGATATAATATAATTGAGCTATTAAGTCTATATTAAGATACATATATATACTATCCCTGACGGGTAGCTCGACTCGGTGTTTCATGTGCAACGCCATCTTCATGTTCTGAGTACTCAGCACCTGAAGATTGCATTGTGCATGAAACCTCGTGTCGTGCTACCGGTGAGGGAATATATATATTTATTAATACATACAGACACACCCATACCTTTATATATATATATATATATATATATATATATATATATATATATATAATGCTTTCTTTATTATTATTAATACTCTATTTCTTGATATTCACCAATTTGCAAAGATTGCCTTAAAATCATTGTCTTCCAGAGATACCTTGGTCGACCGATTTATTTTTTGTTTTGTTCCTTGATTTCTTTCTGGTTGAGGGGGTGAGACGAGACACACTTTTGTTTTTGTCATAGACATACATACATACTTATCACACACACACACACACACACACATATATATATATATATATATATATATATATATATATATGCTTGTAAGTATGCGCGTAGAAAGGTGTACGAATAAAGACAGACTAAAAACTATACACCTACATTTACATAGGCAGGTACGTATGCTTCTATCTTGATAGACAGGCGATGAAACCGTGCTTGGGGAGAGAGATAATCTCTAGCTACCCACACCGCACACCAGCCTGATACAAATCCATGCATCCAAAATTACCAGATCATCGGAAGCGTAGGTACAAGGATATATTCGTCGATATATTTGGCCGATAGTCACGTGACAGATAAGTGACAGATATTTTGCAGGATCAGAATTCAGATAAGACAATCGGGTAATGCGGTGTACGAGTGTGTGTGTGTGTGTTGGAATCGGGTGGGTGGGACTAGCGAGTGTTAGAACTCAGGTGTTGTGGGTGGGAAGGAACAAGAAAGCGGAGGCCAGGACCATCAAAATCGGCAGATAAACGTCGATCGCTCAAATAGACGTGTATTAATAGAAACCCCTTCGCCAATGAACTCGGCGGTTTTAGCCGGCGGGCTAGACGGATGTCGGTGGGTGTTGGATGCTAGCTTACGTTGCCTGCTGTGCCTGGGACAAGATGGTTGCGTGGATGTATGATTGTTAATTTTTGCTTGCCTATTTGAATCTGGTCTCATCTCCTGTCTCAGTCAGTTCTATTCGGTCTTAGTCTGCTCTTCTTTGTCAAACTCAGCCACCTGTGTCAGAGTTCGTTCCTGTCCGTCTGTCTCTACTCCAATCTATCTATGTCGGTCTGCTCCTCTTCTGTCTCACTCTTCTTCTCTCTCTCTTTCACTCTTCTCTCCCCTATTCTAAGTCCTCACTCCTGAGGCTGTCTATCTCAGTTCACTCTCCTCTCTCACTATGTCTGAGTCAGCTTTCTTCTAGTAGCCTCTGTCTGAGTCTGCTCATCTTTGTCTGAGGTTGCTCTTCTCTATGTCAATCTGTTTCTCCCTGTCTCTCAGTTTGCTCGTCTCTGTCTCCTCCCCTCTGTCTGTCAGTCTCCTCTCTTCTGTCTGTCTGTCTCTGTCTCCTCCCCTCTGTCTGTCTCCTCCCTTCTGTATGTCTGTCTCAGTCTCCTCTCCTTCTGTCTGTCTCAGCTTTTTCTTTCTGTCTGTTTCTGACAGACATAGGAATAATAAGACTGTATCCGTCTTCTCTCTTCTGTCTCAGTCTTCATCTTACTGTTCGTCTGTCTTTCTCAATCTTCTCTCTTCTGTCTGTCTCTCTCAGTCTTCTCCCCACCTGTCTGTCTGTCTGAGTCTTCTCCCCACCTGTCTGTCTGACTGAGTCTTCTCCCCACCTGTCTGTCTGACTGAGTCTTCTCCCCACCTGTCTGTCTGACTGAGTCTTCTCCCCACCTGTCTGTCTGACTGAGTCTTCTCCCCACCTGTCTGTCTGACTGAGTCTTCTCCCCACCTGTCTGTCTGACTGAGTCTTCTCCCCACCTGTCTGTCTGACTGAGTCTTCTCCCCACCTGTCTGTCTGTCTGTCTCAGTCTTCTCCCCACCTGTCTGTCTGTCTGTCTCAGTCTTCTCCCCACCTGTCTGTCTGTCTGTCTGAGTCTTCTCCCCACCTGTCTGTCTGTCTGTCTGGAGTCTTCTCCCCACCTGTCTGTCTGTCTGTCTCAGTCTTCTCCCCACCTGTCTGTCTGTCTGTCTCAGTCTTCTCCCCACCTGTCTGTCTGTCTGTCTCAGTCTTCTCCCCACCTGTCTGTCTGTCTGTTTCAGTCTTCTCCCCACCTGTCTGTCTGTCTGTCTCAGTCTTCTCCCCCCACCTGTCTGTCTGTCTGTCTGAGTCTTCTCCCCACCTGTCTGTCTGTCTGTCTGAGTCTTCTCCCCACCTGTCTGTCTGTCTGTCTGAGTCTTCTCCCCACCTGTCTGTCTGTCTGTCTCAGTCTTCTCCCCACCTGTCTGTCTGTCTGTCTGAGTCTTCTCCCCACCTGTCTGTCTGTCTGTCTCAGTCTTCTCCCCCCACCTGTCTGTCTGTCTGTCTCAGTCTTCTCCCCACCTGTCTGTCTGTCTGTCTCTGTCTTCTTCCCACCTGTCTGTCTGTCTGTCTGTCTGTCTCAGTCTTCTCCCCACCTGTCTGTCTGGCTGTCTCAGTTTTCTCCCCACCTGTCTGGCTGTCTCAGTTTTCTCCCCACCTGTCTGGCTGTCTCAGTTTTCTCCCCACCTGTCTGGCTGTCTCAGTTTTCTCCCTATCAGTCTACTTTTCTTTCTGTCTCAGTCTGCTTCACTTTTTCTGTATTAGTTCTCCGTCTACCACAGTCTTCCTTACCTATTCCCCTTTGTCTGTCATTGTCAAATTTCTCTCTCTCTAGATTTCTCTGTCTCCATTAGTTCATCTCTGTGTCTGTCTCCATTATTCTCTGTCTGTCTCATTCTTCGTCTCTTTCATTTTCTGTCTCCCACAGTTCGACTCTGTCAGTCACTCGCCTTTTCAGTCTGTCCCACTCCGAACTTCCCTATCGCTCTTTATATCAATTTGGATTTTCAAATATCGTCTTCCTGACATCAAGTCTAGATATCTATGTTTGTAAATAAATAATGATCCAGGAATTATGATCTACATTCTCGTTAATCCGATGACAATCAGTGTGTCCTGAATAATCTACCTACCTTAACTAAATAGCAACGTACTTCTTGGGAAATAATCACTTTTCTTTTGAATATGCCAAATTGGATAATCCTGTATTTCCCTCAATGAAGCAATCAACCGATCTTAATATTGTTCGGATTAAAAGAAGTGTCGTAGCATGTCGGAGGAGTAGTAGTGCAACTGTACTTTGACGGAAAAACACGTCAGAAAAGAAATCTTTCAGATCGTCTTAAATATTTACCATTTTCACTGTCTGAAAGTCTGGGATGCAGAATTATCATCATTTACATATTTTACAACTCTGTTCTTCTCATTTTGTTATCAAAACTTTTCGACTGTTGTGCTCACCGACCTTCATCAGGTACTTTTATGAGTAACCTTAAAGCAATTTTTAACTGAATAAAACCTTTAATTAGTCTACGGGGCTAGATTGTTCTCGTTCTGCTGAATATGTCTTAGTACTTCTCTATTATTTTTAGCATTGTTTTCACTGAGTACTACCTGGCCCGGCATTTAGTTCACCCGGCATACAGTTTCACAAAAAATGCTTTAATACCACACGAATATTGCCTCGTGGGACAATCCAGAGTCTAGAATTTAGAGACTTACAGCTATGCTCCCTGTTGCTTGACACACTTGATTGCATTCACCATAAAAAGAATCTACAGATTGATCCTTGTTATAATCTTCGGCTATATACCAGCTGCCGACCCAGGAGACTGATCACAACAACATGCCTAAGCTCTCGAATTGTATAACGCTAATGATCTAAGCCTGGTGTTTGCTACTTTATTAAGATGAACGGAATATCTACAAGCCGACATGTTATAATGAAAGCAACAAGCATGGGGCATTTGTCAGGATGATTCATAGAATAATTATAATACGGAGGTTTTCCGTTGGAGTTTTCTTCGCTTCAGATGTCCAGCCCGGCTCCCGGAGTCTGCTGGACACCTTGAATATTCTAAATATTGCTTTGTCGTATTGTACGTGCGTATTATACAACAGTAAATACGCAGCACTTCTGACGTCTTCAACTGAAATCCGAAATTTTATCCAGTAATTATATTTTCCTCTCCCTGTAGATACTTTGGTTTATCGCCCGGTTCACTCTCCTCCCTGGTATTTTGAACAAGAACAGAGGTTCATCTCTTGTTTCCTGTTTAAGATTGGGCTTCTGGTTCCTTCTAAAGTCTAATCCAACTTATACTCTTAACGTCTCCACCTAAACTCTGAAATTTTCTTCACTAATGTCTAGAATTAGCTGTTGAACTTTACTGTTATCTGGCCCTTTCTTACGCTAATGCAATTCCACACAGTAACCCTCTACCTTGAGTAGCTCTTGGGCCTTGTATTGCGTGAATATTAGTAAAAAAAAAAGTTGTTTGTCTATTTTGACTATTAAGCCCGTGGAACATAAAGTGTAGCTTGGATGAGGTACCCAGTGAGGATCGAACTCACTACTCAGTCGTAATTGTTCTAGCGAGACAAGCTTGTTAATCATTACATCACCTAGTGGTACCCAAAAATGATTTTCTAATCGTAGCTTAGATGTGTCACCAGGCCGAAAGTATGGGGCACCCAGTGAGGATCAAACTCACTACTCAGTCGTAATTATTCTAGCGAGAAAAGCTTGTTAATCATTACACTACATCGAGGTGCCCAAGCCAGTGGATCATATTTATTTTTACGATGTGAATAGGAATGTATCATCGTTTGGTGTGATTATCTCTGCCTCGTCATAGTTGTTACGATGTGTCTTAAATATATACGCAAATATAACATCAAATGTAGGACAGAGGTATTTTCCTCAATAATCTTTCAAATTCGAGTAATGTTCTTAAATAGAATCGTCAGAATGAGTCGTTCTTGGAGAGGTCGGGCAGGGTACCAAACCCGTACAGAAATATTGAAAATATCAGTTTTATACAATCGCTTTCCCAGGTCAATGGCTAAAAATAGCTTCGAGCGAATGAAGTCTCTAGACCTTAGCAAAAACTATTCTTCTTGTAAACTGGCGCTACATAATCGCAAATTCTGTACCAAATAACAGAAACGACACCATATGAAGAATATCAGTCTATATTTCTACGTTGAAGCATTGTAATTATTTACATTGTTCGGACTGTTGTCCTCATGTTTATTGTCATTTTCACGACGTGTCAGCCGTTGTATGCTCCGACCTTCTTCGGAATGTTTCTATATTTCTAAGATGAAGTATTTTAACTATTTACACTACTTACATTCTTCGGACTGTTGTCCTCATCTTTATTGTCATTTTCACGACGTTTCGGCCGTTGTATGCTCCGACCTTCTTCAGAATGTGTCTGTATTTCTGAGATGAGGTATTTTAAATATTTACACTACTTACATTCTTCGGACTGTTGTCCTCCTCTTTATTTTCATTTTTCAGGACGTTTCGGTCGTTGTACGCTCCGGCCTTCTTCAGGATCAGTCTATCTGAGATGAGTTAAAGGGACATGACTGAGCCATCCGGAAGAGACATGACACGTTGAACTTAAACAATCTACCCCGTTTAAATATGGAAATAAAGGGTTCAGTTCGAAACTCCAATTACCTGAAGAAGGCCGGAGCGTACAACGGCGGAAACGTCGGGAATATTTCAATAAAGCTGAGGACAACAGTCCGAACAATGTAAATAATGATTTGAAGATTTTGAACAAAAGCAACAACTAAAATAGATAGCAAAGGTAACTCGAAAATAAAATAATGATATAATCAGGAGTTAATTTTCCGGACAGCTTCAAACAAATGCTGAGGACAGAAATCCCCATCAATACTGCTAAAAAAAATGGTAACTGGTACTGGACTTTAGTTATTTAACTAAAAAACACTGTTTTAAAAGAAAGAATTGATAGGTTTCAACCAAGGGAAGCAATGGCTGCTCCATCAATAAATGCCGAATTTTTCCTTATAAGGAAACGGATAAAATTGCTATTATCATTATAGATGCGTTTTATACGTCGCCAAATATCGTATTTTCTATTTAGACATTTTAAGCAAAAGCGGCATGTGCAGGTATTTTATGGTATTAGTTCTGAAAGTTAGAATATTTTTCTGTGTACTATTAGTATGTAGAGAAATCTTATAAAAATTTTAGAAACAGTATTTTATATATATATATATATATATATATTGTGTATTTAGGCAGCAATCTTTCATTTATGCACGTTTCGTTAAAAATGAAAGAAAAATTAAATAAAAAGGTTAATCGTAGTACATTGTCTGTGGTTTTTAATGATATATATATAATTATTATTATTACTTTTTAAGTATTTATTTACTAATATTTTGGAAGCATTTCTCCAGAATAGAAAGATAATTTCCCAAATGATTTACACATTTTATGTTTTCTTTAAAAATTAATTCCTTCCTGTTAAGTTTGTTAGTTTTCTTTTCAGATAATGTGGGCCTTTTTTTTTCTATTTCTCTTCGCGAATTGTTATATAAATAAAAATTGCAACGGTTTTTATCGTGGGAAAACAACAGCCTTATGTTTCTATTATGCCCATATATATATATATATATATATATATATATATATATACATATATCTTAATTTGTTTAGCTATATTTTTTGTACATTAAAGATATATTAAGTAATTTTCTAAATTCCAATATATATATATATATATATATATACATATATATATATATATATATATATATATATATATATATATATATATATATATATATATATATATATATATATATATATATATATATATATATATATATATATATATATATATATATATATACATATATATATATATATATATATATATATATATATATATATACATATATATATATATATATATATATATATATATATATATATATACATATATATATATATATATATATATATACATATATATATATATATATATATATATATACACACATACATATGTATATATATATATATATATATATACATATATATATATATATATATATACACACATACATATATATATATATAATACACATACATATATATATATATATATATATATATATATCCGATTTTAAAATCTTTCTCTTCGTTTCAGTGAAGTCAAAAGTATAATGGATATTAAATATTATCAATCTTATTGCCAATATTGTTATCATTTTGTTATCTTTTATTCTTCAAATTTTATTAACTACTCTATTAAAGCCTTATAAATACACACACACACACACACACACATATATATATATATATATATATATATATATATATATATATATGGTTGGATGGATGAGTTTGTGACCCTGGGTTTCACGCTCTTGCGATCATCAGACAAACTGATATTGAGCGCTTTCTAATAGGTACCGCGCATATAATATGTAAATATTATATATATATATATATATATATATATATATATATATACACTTTTCACACACACACACACACACACATATATATATATATATATATATATATATATATATATATATATATATATATATATTTAGAATTAAATATATTTTCGTCCTTGTAACGAGTCTCCACTGTTGCTTTCGAATTAATGTCTGCTTTATGAACTCCACCTCGACAATAGTTGCATCAAAGTGTATAAATCCGTACTGAATTCAATTCGCGCACTTTTCAATTTTATTAAACATAAGAACTCAGCCTCTGCGCACACACAAAGACACGTATAAATTTATTGATATATATGCACATAAATTTTTTTTTAGATATCTGTTCAGATATAGAGTGTTATCTATTAATAGACACAAGAAGAAGGATAAGACATATATTTGATTAAAAATAGAATCACTTCTTTAAGAAAAAGGAAACACAAAAATCATTGCTTTTTTTTTGTTGCGAATATATCCGCGAATTAAAACAAAAAATAATAACGAAAACTATAAGAATAAATTTTAAAATTAGATTCCATCGCTAAAATTACAGCGTGACAACAGCATGAATAAAAGAGAGAGATTTCCCATCGGCTTGCACATATGTGTCGGTGGGTCGACATTTCATCGAGTAGATCATTACCCGGCATAACTTGTGTTGGCTCAGTCTAGCCAGGCCGACGCTAAGGATCAGATTCACCATATAATATCATGCTCTCAAAGCTCATTGATGAAAACGCAATTCATCAGTACCAGAAAAACCTCAATCATAATAGCTTGACAGCCGACAACGCTCATCAGATATTGGGCAATTTATGTTCAAATTCTACCAGAAAACCAGAATAATGGTCCGAACCGTAGACAAATTAAAATGTGTGTGAGTATAGTTTTGAATACTAGTAGGAGGATTTATTCCGAGCCTTCGCGTGTTGGGCACGGCTGGAATTCGAATGAGTAACTTTCTTAAAAAATAGATGAATACATTCCAGCACGCCGCTCCCATTGCTAAACAAGGTTATGTTGATGATGGTGGGTGAGAGTTGTTCGATATACAGAGCCGCATTATGGGGAGATATCTTCGGCAATTTGATTTACATATAATTTTAGTGTTTTCAAACAGAATTTTTCTTAAGGGTTCTTGTAGATTATGGGTTCATCTCCACACACACACACACACACACACATATATATAATATATATATATATATATATAATGTGCATTGCTGAGTGACTTGAATATCAGCATGACGTCTTGGTAATATCAGTTTAGAGAGGCAATAAACACACACAGGTACATTAATTCAAGCGATATTATTACTTGGTACCCGTATTTAAAATAGACGCCCCATTTTTTAAAACTGTGTGTATTTTGTCTATCGGCATTGTCCTCTTTTGTATTTACATGCTGAGCACTTTTACCCATAAGTATAGCACAAGCATTTTTTAATACACACACACACACACACATATATATATATATATATATATATAAAAGGACAAGGTCCGACTTTTTTAATATATTTATTATTTATACGTTGTTTTTATACATACAAATATTCAAGTAATTGCTCTGTTTATTAATAATGTTTATTACAATCAGAGCATTTCCTTAAATATTTGAATCTATAAAAATTACTTACAAACAAAATATATATATATATATATATATATATATATATATATATATATATATATAATGTGTAACAGGATAGATCACTTAGATCTTGACACAAGGAGATCTACACAAACAAAATTGATTGAAAAAAAATGGTTTTACAAAGGGGGCACCACAAATAAATTTTCTTTGATTTATTATGTATCGATTACAGGAAGAAATCGTTCTATGTTATCTGTTATTTTAGTCCTGATTTTAATACTTTCCATTCCCGATTTCGAATAAAAATTATGGTGACATAAGTACTTCTTACTTTCAACTTCTATAAGAGTATATATGTATGTTATTACTGTTTCAAGGATTTAGTTTGACTTTCCATCATTGCTCTTTCAATAAAACTACAGAGCCTGAGACTGGTGTCTTTTTCTTAAATCGTTTTTCTTACTTATTTCTTCTTACCGCTTTTTTTACTTAATTTTATTCATTCCCTTTTTTCCAAACTTTCTTTTGACAATGCTTCATCCATTGCTTTCTCTCATAAACTCTTTCCTTCGCTTTCACCTACACTCTCCTCCATTCTTCGCTTTCTCCTTTACTCTTTTTTCTTCCTTACTTTCCCCATTACTCTCCTTTCTTCTTTACTTTCTCCATTGCTCTCCTTCCTTCTTTACTTTCTCCATTACTCTCCTTCCTTCTTTACTTTCTCCATTACTCTCCTTCCTTCTTTACTTTCTCCATTACTCTCCTTTCCTCTTTACTTTCTCTTTTACTCTCCTTCCTTCTTTACTTTCTCCTTTACTCTCCTTCCTTCTTTACTTTCTCCTTTACTCTCCTTCCTTCTTTACTTTCTCTTTTACACTCCTTCCTTCTTTACTTTCTCCATTACTCTCCTTCATTCTTTACTTTCCCCATTACTCTCCTTCATTCTTTACTTTCCCCATTACTCTCCTTCCCTCTTTACTTTCTCTTTTACTCTCCTTCCTTCTTTACTTTCTCCTTCTCTCCCCTTCCTTCTTTACTTTCTCCATTACTCTCCTTCCTTCTTTACTTTCTCTTTACTCTCCTTCCTTCTTTACTTTCCCCATTACTCTCCTTCCTCTTTACTTTCTCTTTTACTCTCCTTCATTCTTTACTTTCCCCATTACTCTCCTTCCCTCTTTACTTTCTCTTTTACTCTCCTTCCTTCTTTACTTTCTCCTTTACTCTCCTTCCTTCTTTACTTTCTCCATTACTCTCCTTCCTTCTTTACTTTCTCTTTTACTCTCCTTCCTTCTTTACTTTCCCCATTACTCTCCTTCCCTCTTTACTTTCTCTTTTACTCTCCTTCCTTCTTTACTTTCTCTTTTCTCCTTCCTTCTTTACTTTCTCCTTTACTCCTTCCTTCTTTAATTTCTCCATTCTCTCCTTCCTTCTTTACTTTCCCCATTACTCTCCTTCCCTCTTTACTTTCTCTTTTACTCTCCTTCCTTCTTTACTTTCTCCTTTACTCTCCCAATTACTCTCCTTCCTTCTTTACTTTCTCTTTTACTCTCCTTCCATCTTTACTTTCTCCTTTACTCTCATTTCTTCTTTACTTTCTCTTTTACTCTACTTCCTTCTTTACTTTCTCCTTTACTCTCTTTCGTTCTCTTTCCCCCTGTGCTTTTCTTTTTACTTCCCTTTGTTCTGAGCTCACATGCCATCCATTTTCTCTTATAGTCTCTTCCTTTCGCCCTCCTATACTCTTCTTCCTCCTTCGCTTTCTCCTCTCCTCTCCTTCTTTCCGCGCTTTCTCCTATACTCGCCTTCCTTCCTTCATTGAATCTCTATCTCCCGACGCATTGTTTATCATTTCCTTCTTTTTCGCTTCTTTTATTCCCTCCCTTCTATATTCTCTCCATCTTTATTCTCACACTTTTTATTTTGGTATCCTCACCAAACTCTATCGATTCGTCCTTCTCCTTATTTTTTGTCTAAACGTCGACTTTTCCAATAAAATCGAAAAAAGACTTTTGAGATTTTCATGCTGAGCGTGTATTGTGAGTTAAATATTGGCCAGGAATGGCGAAAGGTGCCACAACAAATCGCACTTGTTAAAATGCCCGTTGATACCTTGTATACTTTTATATCACGATGAGGATTTTCTTAAGTCCAATAAATATAGGTATGCCTTGTCTATCTGCATTCTGATAGCACAGAAGTCTGTGTACCTGTCTTGTTTTATCTTTTATAACGACGCGGGCATTATAGAAATCTTGTCCCCACTCTGAATCCTAGTAAAGTGTATGCTTATCTACAGATCTGGGCCTATTTGTTTTCTCTGATCTCTAGGTGCAACGCTAACAACGGTGATTTAGATGTCAACCCGCTTGGAGCGCATAAGAAAGAAACATGTGTAATGAAATAAATATTGTTTAAAATAAACGGAGCGTCAAATCAAACACTGATATTTATTAAAAATAACATTTGAAGTAATAAAACATGACGGATTTAAAAAAAAATAAAATCGATTAATAGAGAAATAGATTTGTTTACGTTTCAGATATGTTTCGTGGAGGAGGCACGGTGGAGTAACGGCTCGGATTGAGAAATCGGAGAGCCGAGTTCAAATTCCAGTCGAATCCTTCACATTCACTTACGTGCTAATACTCTTGGGAAAGGTAAAGAATCCTCCTCTTCTCCCCCGGCTATGGGTAAATATCAAGACAGACCGGGTTCTATAGCTTTGAATGGCAACTGGTCTACCGCAGAAATTAATGATGGCAACCTACTGTGGGTAAAAAAATTAGCCTTGTCAGACCGGGTTCTGTAGCTTTGGATGGCATCTTGTCTACCGCAGAAAGAAATGGGAACCTACTGCGGGAAAAAAAAATCTTCCTCGTCAGTCATGTATCGAAAGATACATGATCGCCTAAGCGTGTACCATGCATGGCACATAACTGACTGACTGACATAAAAAAATCTACCTTGTGTCATATCTGGTTTATATTAACAACAGAAAGGTAGACACAAATCTCATTTACAATATTGTTTAAAAATCCACCTGGAAGGTCGCCATTTTGATTAGTGGGGAGTTCTTATTCCCCTTCATGGATGTACCGCCCGTATTGTATGGCCACTGTTGATCTATCCATATTTGGTCTCTCTCTCTCTATATATATATATCTATATATATATATATATGGAGTCGCTAACCGCTATAGTAGACGGGTATTCTCGAATACAAGTGGCCAGCTATTATTATATATATATATATATATATATATTCTATCCGATTTTCTTACTCCATCTCATTTCCTCTCTCTGCACACGCTTGCAAGTCACTTCGCAATTTAAACTATACCACGATTTTTTTAATTACCTTTTTTCCCTTCGTTTCCTTTATTGACAATATGTATGATAAATAATTCAGCACGCGTTTCAGTAATCGCTTGACTACATTATTGAAACAGAGAAAGACTTATTACGCCAAGCCGCCACCCCCTGGGGCATATCAGTTCCCATCGGCTATTGAAAAGTTTTCCCATGTTAACTCTTTCAACGAACTGTTACTATGGACAAAAATTCCAACAGGAGTTTGCCTAACAAGCCCTGCCTAATTACACCTGCTTGTCCCAGCATTCATTTTACAAATGTCTGCATACAATATTCAATAACTATTTTCTCACCTTTCAACGCACGCCATATCGTTCATGAATATTTATATAAGAATGTATTAAATTACCGATGGGCATACGTGGTCTGTCCCGAAATTATGAAGCTTTTCAATATTAACCGAAAAAAGAAAACAAAAAAAGAACCCTACGTATGGCAATGGCGCTTTAGTCCTTTTCAAAATAGACCTTCAGGGACTGCGCACACTTATCTCGGATATCAGCATCGTCTTCAGGTTTTAAAGAAAATAGACGTTGATATCTGAGAGTGTATGTGATGCCCAAAGGTGTATTATGAAAAGGGCCAAAGAACTGAAAAATATGCAAAGCTTCTTTCGGAATCGCTATCGTTTATATATATATATATATATATATATATATATATATATATATATATATATATATATATAAAGAAGACGGAGACTTTAATTGTCCATTTCCATTATACTTTATTTCGTGAACACCGAGATGTTCAACTCTTCAGATCGAAATCTCCTCCGTAATTTCGGCCTGAAGATTTAGACAACGCGGTGTTCACGAAATAAAGTATAATCGAAATGGATGATTAAAACCTCTGCCTTCTTATTATCATTATAATGCTCTGTAATCTACATTGAGCTCTCCCTGGATTTATATCATCCTCGGAATTATCCCTTCCAGTCATGAACTGGTAAGACTCATATATATATATATATATATATATATATGTATATATATATGAATGTACTGCAAAAGTAGATATACAGTAAGTATTATACCATTATTACCAATATTATAATTGTGGTACGAAGATTTATTTATTACTACAATTCGTTTAATTCATTAAGATCAATTTTTATTATTTTATTTTCATAATTTTTATTGTAATATAATTAACATAAATAATTAAATAGTATAAATAAATAATAATAATAAATAATTAATAATATACTAAATATTAAATAAGTAAAAATAAAATAAAAGCACATAATTAACATTAATTAATATAATTATTAGTTATAATAGTGTATATAAATATAGTGTTACTTATAAATGCTTTTCAGGTAAAGGTGAATATGTGAATGACAGAGGTAACCAGATTTAACATTTTAGGGATTGATAGGACAAAATTATTATAGTGGTGAAAATAAAACGTGAGACATGATTTTATTAGAAATTTTATTATGACAGAAGGAAAAAAGCATTTTATAATTAAATTTTGCTCTCGTCAAAATATCCTGCTTTAGCCTTGATTACTGCAGCACAAATATTTGGCATACGTTGCAAAAGTTTCTCCAAGTATAAGATTGATAATTGATTCCATTATTTTATCAATAAATCTAAGAGTTCTTTTTCATTTTGTTTTTCACTCATCTGTCAAGTTCATCCCATGCTAATTCTGGGGATGGATTCAAACTTTGAACTGCAATATATATATATATATATATATATATATATATAATATATATATATAATATATATATAATATTATATATAATATATATATATATAATATAATGAAATGTTTGGTAATAACTATGGATAATCCCAAGGAGGATGTAATCCAGAGAGCTCAATGTAAAAACAGAGCGAATATTAGTTTACTTTAAAAACAGACAATCTTAATGGTCCATCAATGAACCTTTAAGTTTGTCTGTTTTTAATTAAACTTTTAATATCGCATCCTACATCAAAATGCACAAACAGCCCAGGCCATGATTGAAAAGAAACAAATTGTATCACGTGAATTATGGAAGATGCCCAACAAAATCAAGAAGAGAGATAAAGCGGCTGTGACCACAAGTATATAAGACTGATAATTGATTGCATTCTTTTTTGAATGACTCTAAGTACAATTTTGCAGCTTTTTTTCTTCACTCTTCTATCAAGTGCATACCATGCTAATCTGGTGGTCGCTACAAACTTTTGACTTGTAGTTTGTGTGTGTATGTGTAATATATATATATATATATATATATATATATATATATATATTTTTTCTCACAATAATAATGACAATAATTGTGATCTTTTTCATGGTAATAATTAGTCCAGGTTTTTATCTATATGCTATGCTTCTTTCTCTATTAGATTTTGTCTCATCGCAATTAAAGTAAATCCCCCTCCCCACATCCACCTCACGATATCTATTCCATCGCACCCTTGACCTACCCTCTAAGCTCGAAACGTTCTTTTACTTTGTCTCAGTTTTATTATTCATTAATTAAAGTAATTAATTAGCTAATTACTTTATAGTGTTACTTATTTTAATTTTCTCTCCAAACCGTTCGTTTCACCATTCGTGCAAATCTTGCCATTCATCTTACTTCCTTACGTTTCATTGTGTATACTCGTGTACAAGTCGACTTTTTTTACTGAGTGTCCAAAATAAAATTGTGTCTGGATATTTTCTTTGTCAAGTAATTATTATTATTTTAAGTCTCATATTCTTTCTTATTTCTATGAATGTTATATTTGATGAATACGCGTGTCTGAATATCCTTGAATTTTCTAAACCGTGAAATTGTCACTTTCTACCGACCTAGAGATCTAAAGTCTTATTCGAGGAACATTGCCTTTAATAGGACTTTCAATATCTAGGTCACTGGAAATCAATTTGTTTTGTTTTTTTTTAAAAAAAGCAAGATGTGTACTCACACAATACACTTACGTTAATAATAAATACTGTCATATTTACAAAAAAAAAAACAACATAATGTCCAGTTTTATGTTATCAGTTTCTTTTCTCACACTTCTGGCTTGTGGAACTCTTTTCCGGCTCTATGCTTTCCAGTCAACTTCGATCTTCAAAAATATCAATCTTTATCTTATTGATTTTTCTGTTATTGTTTTTGCTCCTTAATAACGTTACTTTTTTTCTTATTCGTTCACACTCAGTAACCCTTTCGGTCTTAGTGGCTTTACTGCTTGCGTGAGATGAAATGATTAAAAAAAAACAAAAGTGTCAAGCAACTCAGTTCCTAGGAACCGACAGACAGACACTTGCACATGAGACATGATTATAGTGATGAAGGCTTTGTGCAGAACCATTCACACTTTTTGAAGGGCCGAATAAAGAGACCTGGTGCACTACGTGCTACAAGGTCCCTAAACGACCCTTCACAGATTTTGAATTCAGAGTTGTTCTTCTCCTAAACCATTTGCCATCCAAGGCTATAGAACCCAGTCTGTTCTGCTATTTACCCATAACTGGGAGGAGAAGAAGAGGATTCATACCTTTCCCAAGGGTATTACGACGTAAGTGAATGTAATGGATACGATTGGAATTCGAACTCGGATCTTCGATATATATATACATATATATATATATATATATATACTACAGTTCAAAATATCCCCCTTTAGGCCTGATCCCTGCAGCACGAATTTTTGGCATTCGTTGCAAAAATTTCTCAAAGTATAAGTTGGATAACTGATTTCATTCTTTGTTCAAAGACTCTCTGGGTGTGGCTTCAAATATTTGAACTGTAGTGTATATATATATATATAATATAAATGGCTCAAGCACTAATATTCCATGGTTATAATTTATTACACTGGAATCTTAATCACAACCCAATTCATCAGACTTACAAATTCAAAAAATTACGTTTCCAATGTAATAAATTATAACCATGGAATATTAGTGTTTGAGCTTTTTATATTATATTCTCTGTCCTGGGCATTGAGTTCTACCTGGATTCTATCCTCTTGGGCATGCATAGCCTTATTAAAAAATCAAAACAAATCAAATAACAGTGTGAAAAGGACTAATTTTCTCTTCACACCACTAATACTGTATTTTCCCTCGGCAATTTTATTGTTTTAATAAGCTATTTTTAGAATTTTGATAAAGCCCAAACATATGAAATTGGATTTATACATTTTTTTCTTGAGAATTGACCGTGACAGTGTTAAATAGTAATTATTTATTAAACTGTTTATTTACACGAATAATCTTATATTTATAATTTCGCAAGGTCAACCATAGTAAATTTGATCATTCTTGGCAAAACTTCTATTATCACAGCGGTTTATTTAATAACAAATGTGACGAGAAAAAGAAAAAAGAAAGCTAAATAAAATCAGTTAGATTAAAAAAATAAATTTAAAATTCCCAGCATCACTCGTTCTTGTACATGTGTAGACGAACCAACGTAACAAATTTAGTCCGATGACGTCCTGAGCGGATGTAACATATCGCAAGAAAACTTTTCCCTTTTTGTCATACATTTTCCCCATTTACAAGATTCTAAAAATAAGTAAACCAACTAAAATCCAATATTTATTATGTACCATTTTATAAAGAAATAACTACGAATATATTTTATTTATATACTTATAATAATTTCTGTGAACTATAGACCAACATTCATAAAAATGGTTTCTCATTATTTCTATTTATACATTTTTTCTAGAGGACTGACAACAAAAATGTTAAACATTAGTTATTTCTTAAATTATTTATTTACAAGAATAATTTTGCAGTTTTAACGTAATTAATAGTAGTGTCAAGAAAAAACTACTTCTGACACACCATTTTTTCAATTACATTTGTTAAACTTTTTCCAAAATCTTAATTAAATATAGTAAGAATTTCCAACGATTCTACATTTTTATCAAATATTAGACATATTCAAAGTATCGTAATATTAAAAGTTAATGATTTTATTGTTGCGTTTTACAAACACACACAATATAAATATATACATATAATATATATATATTATTGGTCCAATAATATATATATATATATATATTATTATTATTGTTCATATATATATATATATATATATATATTATTATTATTGGTCAATATATATATATATATATATATATATATTATATTGGTCAATATATATATATATATATTATTATTATTGGTCAATATATATATATATATTGGTATATATATATATATATATATATATATATATATAAATCCAGGTAGAACTCAATGTCCAGGACAGGGTAAGAATATAATATAAAAGGCTCAAACAATAATATTCCATGGTTATAATTTATTACATTGGAATCGTAATCACAACCCAATTCATCAGAGCTACAAATATTGGGTCTTGATTAAAATTCAATGTAATAAATTCTATCCTATCGAACCATCTCTATATTAAACCATATATATATATATATATATATATATATATATATAGGGTGATAATAAAGTTACTATTCAGTTACTTATAATAAATAAGCAAAGCATTGAATCAAGTGGCTTGCGTTTCGAACAGTATCGATAATTAATTTACTAATTTTTACCATCGCATTTTATTGTTATTAACCAGAATTAACAAGAACAATTTTAATAATACATTTCTGGGCTATTGAGCAATTACTTTGTCTTAATTGTTATTGTAAGTAACCGTATAGTAACTTTATTGCCACCCATATATATATATATATATATATATATATATATATAGCTAATGAGGAGAGATAGTGTGTGTAAATCATATTTTTTGTTTTTATATTTGCTCATACAAAGAGATAAGCCTCTTAGAATATACATGCTCTTATCAAAATACCGAATGAGTAGAGAAAATCCAATGAGCAAGTCTCATTTGCATATCAATCTGTTCTGTTCTCACTTGACTAAAAATCTCCAAGATCCACTTCATATTCTTGCAACAGACACCTGCCTTATGTCATACGCTATCTGAAATACGAGTTTTTTAGGTGCTTTTATAAATGATCTTAGATGAACACGTGTACAATTACGTAAAACACATCAATTTCCTGTTTCTTTTTTCTTGTAAGCTATCACAAAATGTGCTTTTTTTTCTACGTAGGTTGTGTTTTTTTTTCTTTTTTCTTTTTTTTTTCATTTTTTTTTTTTTTTTTGTTTTTTGCTTCTTATTTTCTTTCGTTTGTCTCTCATATTTCTCCATTATGTTTCTTAATTTTTCTTTTGTTTTGTCCTATTTTTTTCTTTCTCTGTTTTCTATTTCTTTACTTTAGTGACTTCCCTTCTCTTTCTTCCTTTCAAATCCTCATTTTTGTCCTTTTCACAAATCTACTTCTTTCTCTCTCTTTTCCAAATCCTTTTCTTTCTTACTCTCTTTCTAAATTCTCTTTTTTTTTCCAAATCCTCGTCTTTCTCTCTCTTTTCGCAGATCTACTTCTTTCTCTCTCTCTCTTCGCAAATCTACTTCTTTCTCTCTCTCTTTTCCAAATCCTTTTCTTTCTCTCTCTCTTTTCGCAAATCTACTTCTTTATCTCTCTCTTTTCCAAATCCTTTTCTTTCTCTTTCTCTCTTTTCGCAAATCTACTTCTTTATCTCTCTCTCTTTTCCAAATCCTTTTCTTTCTCTCTCTCTTTCTAAATCCTCTTCATCGTCTTTTTTTTTCCAAATCCTTTTCATCGTCTCTTTTTTCCAAATCCTCTTCTTTCTCTCTCTTTTTCCAAATCTTATTCTCTCTGTTTAAAACCTCCTCACCCTCTCCTTTCCAAATCCTCTTCATCCTCTTTTTTTTCCAAATCTCTTTTCATCTCTCTTTTTTCCAAATTCTTTTCTTTCTCTCTCTCGTTTTGCAAATTCTCTTCTCTTTGTTTAAAACTCCCTTTTCTCATTCCCTCTCCTCCTTTCAAATCCTCTCTTCTCCCTCATTTTTCCAATTCTCTTTTCTGTCTCGATTTGACATTCACTTGTTTCTCTCTCTCTCTCTCTCTCGTTTTGCAATTCTCTCTCCTTTTCTCATTCTCTTCTCTCTCCTTTTCCTTTTCTCTCTTCCTTTTCTTCTCTTCTCTCTCCTTTTTCATTCTCTTCTCTCTCTCTTTTTCTCATTCTCTTCTCTCTCCTTTTCTCATTCTCTTCTCTCTCCTTTTCTCATTCTCTTCTCTCTCTCCTTTTCTCATTCTCTTCTCTCTCTCCTTTTCTCATTCTCTTCTCTCTCTCCTTTTCTCATTCTCTTCTCTCTCCTTTTCTCATTCTCTTCTCTCTCCTTTCAAATCCTTTTTTCTCTCTCCTTTTCAAGACTCTTCTTTCTCTTACTCTGTTCTCTCGATCTCTCTTTTCCGTCCTCTTCTCTTTTTTCTCCATCTCTCTTAACTCTCTCTCTCATATTTTCTAATCCTCTCTATCTCTTTTTCAGATACACTTTCATTTTTTTCTACACCTATTCGTTTTTTCTTTTTCTTTTTCTTTTCATTATTTCCCGCACTCCCAGTCCTCCACATCATACCCCCGGCAATTCTTTTTAAACATTGTTATTTTTGTTGTTGTCTTCTTACAACAAGGTGAAAAATGTTCTTTTAAATACTCTCTTCTTCTGATATCCGTTCTTGTGTCAAAGAAAAGGCATAAAAAGCAAGATTTCTGTCGTTCACGCCAAATTGTCTATGTCTTAGCCGGATTGTCCCATTCAGTTACCCATTTCATTTTGCGACCCCTACCCCTAACAGACTTTAAGGGACAAAAAAAACCCTTGAGTTTCTTAAAAGGGCAGATGACTAGTTCCATGATGCATTACATTCAGACAAAAGTAGAATGCTGGCTAAGAGATTGGCTTGACTTTCGCCCATCAACTTTACTCTTTACCCTCACCGAAATCTGTCTTTTCCCTGGTTTGTCAAGCACTTAGAAATACGAGTCAAATACTAATGGTTAGCAAGCTACGTTAGCTAAGCATTAATGAGTTCGATCCTCATTGAGTACCTTAGAGAAGTTAAGCTGACTAAATACCATGTATGATGGTACTTCTGCTATGGATCTGAAAATTCTAGACAAAATCCAATATCTTCTTTCTATTTTTTTTTAACAATGAAATTCACCCTGTGTAAGGTCCGTCAGCATCTCGAGGTAGAAGTTTACACAGTAAGATGCATAGATAAAAGAATAGGTGTGAAAGATAACGGTTAGACTTGAGCAGGTTAAAGAGATCGAGGAAGCATCCTCTTGGGAGTCGTTTACACAAAGCAGCAGTTCGTGGGAGGAAGCTGCTCAAGTGGCGTAAAAAATGAATGAGCGTGGTTCGTTAATCTGCGATTTTTTTTTTAATTTTTAAATTAAAGAAACGCTTATGAATATTTATCTGGCTAGTTGAAAAATCTAGGTAAGCTATATACAAGTAACCTCGATATGAATACTGTATTTTCAGGCTTACAAGACGCACAAAAAAAAACCCTGCAAAATACGTGTACGTTTTCCAAGATGAATATAAGGCAACACCCAGGCCCAAGTAAGCTTGAACGGTCACCTAATTGGCTTAACTGATAGGGCCGTGGATTTATATATTGCGTGATTACATTATAATGTTAGTTATCTATCTAATTCAGGCTTTTATATGGTGTAACCTCAGTACTTAGCTGTTAGAAGTATTTCCAAGACTATAAACCTTCCTGGAGCCGAGCCACAAGCTTAAACATGCTCTATTTACCAGCAGGGGTGGGAGCCTTTCTATTCTTGACTAGTATGTCATTGTCATAAAAACAAAATCGAACGAGTGATTAATGTAAACAATACGCCGCGCCAGTTTTTGAGGGACGCATGGTGAATGTGTTATTGTATGAGAATGATTTTTCTTTTTCTTAGTAATTTCTTTCCAATATTAGGATGCGTTTTCCAAGCCCGAAAATACGGTTCCAACATAAAATGCTTGGATTTTCCTTGATAAAATCCGTTAGAGGACGAAACACATCGGCTAAGATACATTTTCCTTTTGTATTTATTCATATTATCCTTTTACAAGATATGTTCTCTCTGAAATTTTGCATATACATACATACTTACATATATATATATTTTATATATACATACTTACTTTATGTATGTATGTATGTATATATATATATATATATTCCGGAGGAAAAAAAACTACTAAGACATATCACTCTATTAATTGAACTATGTACTTAGTTCATGTCATGTTAACTGGAAAACACTTACAACAAAAGAATTCGTGGATTTACCAAATTATAAAATTCATATAAAAAATTCTCACTTAAAATATTTGAACTTCAGCATTTCGAGTTACACATTCCAATATTATATCACCGTTAATAAATAACACATTCTTAAAAAAAACATCTTTCGGTCTACAACATATTTTTTTCGTCTTCGAGTTTTGATTTTAAAGGAAAAGATTTAAAGCCTGATGATAAGGACATGAAGTCCTTGAAAGTACTTGCTGCTCTAATATATATATATATGATATATATGTATTGCCTTAAACAAAACGGACGTTATACCTAAGGTATCTTTCGGCCAACGCTTTTTCAAAGATATTCGTTGGCAATATTAGATATAATTGAATACAAAGACACACTGAATGAAGTAAATGAGGAGGGGAAAGGTGGAACTCGACTAAAAGACAAATTTTAATTATATAAATTAATATTGAACAAGGGGGGTGTAAATAAATAGTTCCACAAGAGTTTAAAATAGAAAAAAGGGGAACTCACATATCAGTCCTCCCCCCCCCGCAATGTAGCTTTCCTGTGCCTTTTCTATAAATTCTTTCATGGACATTGTTCTGATAAGCTTTTTTCTTCCATACCTGGACTTTTGTGAAATTTAAGCGCAGTACTAGTTTGGCTGTTAGGTCTCGTCATTTTACAACTGAAACTGCTAGATATAACCGTAAGTTCTATGCAAATAGATATTTTTTTCGTATTTCTCGCTTATTTAAATTTTAAATGCGACCTCAATCGTTATCTTCTGTTTTCTTAATTCTTGCTTTTTTTTTTATTGTTCTCTCTCTTTAATAATGTTATTTTTCTGATATTCTTTCACACTTAGCGCCTTTGTGTCTTAGTGGCTTTATTGCCTTGCTTCGTGTGAGATGATTGATATAGAGATGGAACACTCAGTTATTATGATTTCTTAGTTACCGGTTCTTATTTTTCTTCACTTTGACTTTCGGTGCGTTCACTATTCATTCCACCCTTTTATCTACCCGTGGATTTTCGTTAGCCTCCTTTCTATCCCACGAAATTTTAATTTCCGATTTACATTCTATCGGTTTCTTTTACGTCCTTCCCAACACCCCCTGCCGTCACCTTGTCTCACCTCCGCAGAAACGATTCAATCTTCACAAGTTGAAATTGACGGGTCAGCGGTATTCCGACCTTCGTGTCTAAAAAGCCATGTAATAGTCGTCTGTGATATACAACATTTCACTCTTCCCCTGGCGTCAGACACGCTTGAATAGCCCCACCATCTTGTGACGTCACAAACAAGAAGTCAAGTCCCATAATCGCATCAAGAAAAAGGAAAACACAATGGCGCAGGGTTTGGGGAGAACGAGAACATGTTTGCATTGGTTTTCGGTCTTTATGTCCTCTGGTCTTCATCAGGTGTATGTCGATCCAGGTAAACCGAACTCAAGCCTTTATTTAATCAACAGGTAGACTGTTCTCGTTCCACTTCTCATATCACGGGATATATCAACAAGTATTATTCAGTTATTGCTGTTTCTCGCTCTGTTATCTCTGAGTCCAAGTACACATTGCTCGACACCGGGATTGAACTCGCAATTCTTATATCACTAAATTTGCGAACCAACACTTTAAACCATTAGGCCATTGTCCCTTGGAGAACTTTGAACGTTAATCCTAACCTGCCTGCTGACGTGTGCTGCTACTACTTGTTATTTCTGACTGCACTCACTGATACTTTTGTTGCAGCAGCCGAAGACTTGTTGTCATGTGTCTCTCTTTCTTAATTTAACGGCTCCCATATCGTATTTATTTCTATGCTGGGCCTACTGAGGATGACCTCATAGCTAAGCATACTACGCTAAATACTATCTGATCATTATTAGGAAAGTTTATATAATAATAATAATAATAATAATAATAATAATAATAATAATACAAGTTTTATTAATCAACCCTTAGCTGGGGGAAGAGATGGATTCATATCTTTACTAAGGTTATTTGCGCGTAAGTGAATATATCGAACCCAGCTTGAATTGGAACTCGACTCGTCGATTAACAATTCCGAGCCATTATCCATTACACCACCCACACATCCAAACTTACAGCCTCTTGTATTCCCAAGCGGTCACCCATTTAAGTATTGACTAGGCCCGACGTTGCTTAACTGTTGCGACCGTAGGGCCGGTATCTTTGAGAGCTGACATAGCCGATGCTTTAACAAATAGGCCACGCTGACCAATCAACCGGCGAAATTCAAATTTAGTCATATAGATAAATTTCCTATTTACGTGAAGATGATTTGTCGGTGATATCTTTCTGACTTTACAACTGTTAACGCCATACTTTCTTTGTCAAAGGGGGAAGAGAAAAATGAAGTCACGCTTAATCGCTTCGGGGCGAATTCACGTGTTGGCTTATTTACGGAGTGTCGATTAATAAAAGCTGATGGAAAGTCCGCTTTATCGAGGTAGAGGGAGATCTTTGGATATTTAAATAGGAGTGAATGGCGTCGAGTTGGTCTAAGATGTTTTGGAGGTCTTGATTTCTTTAACGGTATTGAAAAGAAAATAACAGAAGAAAAAAAAAGGATACATTTCCCAGTGATATTACAAGGAAAAAAATAATAATAGGGTCGAGGAAATAAAATAAAGCCGGCTGTAAAATGTTTCGAAAGACATTCTCACCCTGCTACCTTTTATCTTTTGTTCCATTATAAACGTTCTAAAGTAAGAGGTATATATTCAACGTATATATATATATATATATATATTGTTCAAGGTACTTTTTATTTATTTCTTAATTCATTGTAAGGCAACGTGTTTTCTATCACACACACACACACACACACACACACATATATATATATATAAATAGTTTTCTTTATTTCCAATAGATCCCTTCCTGACCCAGAGGACCGGGTCTTTTTCTCTTGCAGACTGTCACTGATACCCTCCCTGTCACAACCAGTAACAATGAATAAATCCGTAATCTCCTATATGGATAAATAAATTAACAAGGAACAACAAATAAAGAAATAAAAAAAAACTAAAAAAATCAGACTCACAAAAACACTAAATTTTAAGAAAAAGCTTTATTCTGTTAACAATACTTGCCTTAATTCCTGACCTTTGACAAGTCATTTCTTCCTGATTTTCAGTGCATCTCTACATTAAATTTAGTCTACTTTCCTTTAGAGCTGTTGCTTCTGTTGAAAGTCCTCGAATGATGTGGGTTTTGCTCTCTGTCGAAAGTCCTCAAATGATGTGGGTTTTGCTTCTGTCCAAAGTCCTCAAATGATGTGGGTTTTGCTTCTGTTGAAAGTCCTCAAATGATGTGGGTTTTGCTTCTGTCGAAAGTCCTCAAATGATGTGGGTTTTGCTTCTGTCGAAAGTCCTCAAATGATGTGGGTTTTGCTTCTGTCGAAAGTCCTCAAATGATGTGGGTTTTGCTTCTGTCGAAAGTCCTCAAATGATGTGGGTTTTGCTTCTGTCGAAAGTCCTCAAATGATGTGGGTTTTGCTTCTATTGAAATCCCTCAATTGATTTGGCTGCTGTTTCTGTCGAAAGTCCTAAAATGATGTTTTTTGCTTCGCTCGTGTTAAACTTACGCAATTGATGCGGTTGTTCCGTCTGTCAAAAGTCCTCAATTGATGTGATTGTTGCTTATGTTATAATTTTTGAAGATATATATAATTTTTGAATAAATATTGTTTGCTCTACTTTGTATTGAGCACTATTTTAAAAATATTGTTTTTGTTTATCGGAATTTTATTCCATCTATACCCACCAAGTACTCGTGTTTATATATATATATATATATATATATATATATATATATATATATGTGTGTGTGTGTGTGTGTGTATGTGTAGAAAAAAAGGAAAGAACACGTTAGGTAAATAATACAGGGTTCTTTAGTATTTTTGTTTTATTCAAAAAAAAAGAAAAATGAACAGTGCTCCATACAGAAGGAGAGCTTAGATTATAATTATTTAAAAAAAATATATAATTCCTTCGCTACATAAGAGTTCTCATGTTTCAAAAACGAGAGCCGAAACCATCAATATAATTATTAAAATTAAATTGAATTAAAGTAACAAGCTCTGCTTCATCCTCAAGCGAAAATTTAGGAATAACCAGTTTTGAAATTTACGTATCGTTATAAGCGTGTTCATTCGTTACGTAGATTTTCAAAGGTTATTCCTAAATTTTAGCTTGACGAGATGAAACAAGCTTGATACTAATTCTATTTAATTTTTAATAATTGATAGTTTTCGACTCTCGTTTTGAAACTAAGAACTCTTAATAATAAAAAAATCTTTTTTAATAATATATATCTCTATCTATCTATCTATATATATATATATATATATATATATATATATATATATATATATATGAGAGATAAACTAGAGATCGGATTAATTGTAAAGAACAGGGATTTTCACCTGTGTCTCTTAAGACCCTGTGCTTGTTGAGATGTCTTGAGGTGAACGAAGACAGATTAACTTGTAATAAACTCAAAGAGACAGACAATAAAACTGACACAAAAGGGATCTTTTAGCGTGAGCGGATTTTATAAATGTTTTCTGTTCGTTAACAATTTTCTTTGTTGCTTTTTTCTTTTCAACTTTTCTTTTATCTTTTTTTTTCATCTTTTTCTTTCATTTATTTATTTTTCCTTTTTCATTCCTTTTTTTCCTTTTCTCGCTTCCTTTCCCTTTGTATTTTTACACTTGTTCTTTGTTTGCATTTTGCCATTTTTAAAACCAACATGGTTTTTATTTATTTATTTATTTACGGCATTCTGTCTCCTTCCCATGTCCCGATTTCTGCTTTTAATCATCTCCTCCCCTTTTGTGTTTTTAACCACTCTTCATTCTTTTTTTGTCCTGTCTTTTTCCCTCATTTCTTTTTCTACTTTCTCTCTTCATTTCTTTTTCTACTTTCTCTCTTCTCCGCTTACTAACACATCGTTTTCTGTCTTTTGCCCAAATCTACCCCGTTTTTGTCTTTTGCCCAAATCTACCCCGTTTTTGTCTTTTGCCCAAATCTACCCCGTTTTCTGTCTTTTGCGCAAATCTACCCCGTTTTCTGTCCTTTACCGAAATCTACCCCGTTTTCTGTCCTTTACCGAAATCTACCCCGTTTTCTGTCCTTTACCGAAATCTACCCCGTTTTCTGTCTTTTACCGAAATCTACCTCCTTTTCTGTTTTTTGTCCTCTCTCTACCTCCTTTTCTACCTTTGTCCTCTCTCTACCTCCTTTTCTACCTTTGTCCTCTCTCTACCTCCTTTTCTACCTTTGTCCTCTCTCTACCTCCTTTTCTACCTTTTCCCTCTCTCTACCTCCTTTTCTACCTTTTACCCTCTCTCTACCTTCTCTTCTACCTTTTACCCTCTCTTTACCTCATTTTCTACCTTTTGCCCTCTCTTTATCTCCTTTTCTACCTTTTACCCTCTCTTTACCTCATTTTCTACCTTTTGCCCTCTCTTTACCTCATTTTCTACCTTTTACCCTCTCTTTATCTCCTTTTCTACCTTTTGCCCTCTTTTTATCTCCTTTTCTACCTTTTGCCCTCTTTTTATCTTTTTTTCTACCTTTTGCCCTCTTTTTATCTCCTTTTCTACCTTTTGCCCTCTCTTTATCTCCTTTTCTACCTTTGTCTGTCTCCACCTCGTTTTCTGTCTTTTACCGAAATCTACCCCGTTTTCTACTTTTTGTACGATATCAACCTCGTTTCTAAACTTTTCCCGATTTCCACACCGTTCTTCCAATTTGTCATCATCTTTATCAATTTTATCCCATTTCTGTTAGGTTTTCGGTGTATTTGTCCTATTCCCACCTAGTTTTTGCACGATTTTCAACCCGTTTTCTTTATTTTCCGTCCGTTCTCTACCTTTGTCCCATCTCCATCTGGAATTAACCCTTTTCTCATCTCACCACTACTTTTTCAATTTTCCTCATTTTCCATTGCGTTTTTTCGGCTTTTGCCAACTTTCTACCCTGGTTTCGACCTTTTGAACCATTTCCACCCATTTTTCTATCTTTTGATCCTTCTCCGTTCCATGAACTGTCTTTTGCTACCTCTCGACCCCCTTTATCTCATCCGTAAGCCGTTTCGAATTCCCATACCCACAGTATTTCTTAACTTTGGTTTCTACTCTTTTTCTTTCTTGCATTTCCTCTTCTCATATAGTTGTTCTTTTCTGTTTTCTTTTTGAATTTGTAGGTCTGATGAATTGGATCGTATTTACGATTCCAATGGAATAAATTATGACCATGGAATATTAGTGTTTAAGCCTTTTTATTATATCCTTACTCTGTCCTGGACATTGAGTTCTACCTGGATTCTATCCTCTTGGAATTATTTTTTATACAAATATATATGTATGTTTATGTATGTATGTATGTATGTATATTTATATATTTTAGATTTATATATTTTGTTTATTTGATTGCACATGTATGTGTTTCTTTCTCCACTAATCTCTATATATATATATATATATATATATATATATATATATATATTGTATCATAAGTAAATTTCCATTTTGGGGTATTAAGAATAAATTTGGAGTACGCCATTGTCGATTTCTCGACACTTGGATTTTTAACAACTTCAGCTTATATTTAACAAGGTCAGACCGACTTCATTTCTTTCTGGTTTAAATTTGATTATTTGCTTAATGTAAATCCAGCTTAAGTATTTGTGGGTTTCATTCTGTGTGTGCACAAGACACTTTTAAATCAGGGAGAGTTTATAGGTTTATATGCTTTACATAAAATAGGGAACGTTTATGGGTCACATACTAGAAATAAAATTAAAATATTCACTCTCTCTCTTTCTCTTATATATATATATATATATATATATATATATATATACACAGAGACACAGAAACAAATTTTTGTTGTTACTTAAAAATCGAAAACTGAAAAGAATGATTTAAAAAAAATAAAATAAAATAATCCAAATAAATAAGTAAAGTAAATAATAAACAAATTAACAAACTACTCCCGCCAAAATAACCGTTAGAAGAGACTACCCACAATGCATCACTGACCCGTATATATAAATAGTCGAGAAAAAAAAACAACGCATGTAGCCTGACGATTGCGTTTAGCATGAAACAGTCTGTCACTGCTGAGTGCTGACTGAAATGTTCCCTTTTATATTTGCATACGATATTTCTCTGATATTGAGCACTTTTATCCATAAATGCAGCTTAACTTAAAACTTTCTTTACACACACACACACACATACATATATATATATATATATATATATATATATATATACGACTGTATGAAAAAAAATATATGGAAAAACAAAAATCCGAATATGCAAGTATGCTATTTTAATGTTTCAATGTCGACGTCAGACGTTTCGGTCTAGTAGACCTTCTTCAGGACATAGTTATTAAAACATAATTAACATTAGACGATATTCAACTCAACATGAAAAGACGACATTGAAACAACATTAAAACAGCATATTTGCATATTCGGATTTTTGTTTTTCCATATATTTTTCTTCATATATATATATATATATATATAGAGAATGTACTACCTTTTTACTTATCTTTGAATGTCCAATCTCACACCCACTTCTCTACCCACTGAACCTCCCGATCTTTTCTACCCATTCCTACTTCCCACGCATTCAATATCAAATCAACGAAGTTGGCACTTGGTACAGACAGATTGATAGAGACTGTGGCCAGAAGGCCGACAGATTGACCAGTGTTTTTGGCCGGTGGGCAGAGTGGGATCGAGTGGAGCAGTACTTTGATGCGAACATAATAACAACAGTGTCCAGGGTAGGAACATGGAGATCGTTTTTCCTGGGAACTTGTTCGAAAAGTCAGCACCATTCACTAGAGCAGAATCGATTGCTTAGGAAGCGGCCCGCCATGCCCCATGCCAAGAGACAGTCTGTCTATCGAGTATGGCAGTAGGGGGTCCGATGGTCTATCTGTTGGGTAGACAGTTGTATAGCCTGTCCGAAACATATGTTCCTGAGATGAATTTGTAGTGTTCGGAATTTGAGGAAAGAAAATGTTCGAAAATATGTGGTCATCTCTGGAATATTAACTAAAATTGAAACTCATCTATCCGTCAATGATAGATATTTCCACATGCAATTCGTTTAGGTGGATAAGACACTTTTACACATGTCGCCAGCTTTTAAGCTCAACTAAAAAAAAAATGGCGTTCCATGCTAGGAAGAATGCTCTGAAAGTAATGCCTCTTTTTCCATCAGATACAGGAAGCATTATTATTTTTAGTCTCTGTCTATATTTCTGTATTATGTACACTATTCGGACTATTGTCCTCATCTGTCGCCATATTGTCGCTCCGGCCTTCTTCAAGTGGTTGGAATGTCGAACTTAACCCTTTATTTCGCTTACTGGGGTAGACTGTTCTAGTTCCACGTGCCATGTTTGCCTTTCAGAATAGCATCCAATTTTGATAAATTGATATGTTGTGTGTCCTTCAAGGGCCGCGGCCAACATGCACCCTCTATAACACTTCCACCAACCTCCAACAAAAACCCTATACAGATATGTCCTAAATCATGTTCTTATGGGTTGCATCCTCCTGTTATTTCCTCTCTCCAAGTTCTCCACTGCCTTAACCGGGTATTAAACTCACACTCTTTGGGTCCTAACCAACGCCTTTATCCACTGTGTCATGTGTCTTTGAGGAAATATGTGTATGAATTTCTGTGTATTATAAACCTAATATCTTCAGCAACCATTCTTTTAACAGATCTTATATTGCAATTTTTGTTGTTATTATCGCTTTTCTCTGGCACTCCTTAGTACTGGTTCCCATATTGTATTCATTTCTATGCTTGGTCGGCTCAGGAGATTTTTGTTGTTTAACATATGTGCTGATTCCTTAAGTTTACGAATTTTCCGATGGTGTTCTTTGTCTAAAGACAAACACTATCTTTAGATTATCGAGCCGTGCTCACTAATATAAATCTTGCCACTTGCCATTCAACTCTGCTCACATCCACTATTTGGACTCCGGAAACGTTCAGCAAGCTTCGAGAAATTTTAGTGGGTGTATATTAGATTTTTTTTTTCGCATGGAAGAATTAAATGATGTTTTCCTTCCATCTTCTTCTCTCTCGCTCTCTTTTCTTTTACTTTTCACCTTCCTCTTTCTTTCTTTCATCTCTCTTTCTCTTTCCGTTTTTCTCTTTCACTCCTCCACCTCTTTCCCTTTTCTCTCTTCTACTTTTTTCTTTTTTACTCTCTCTGTTTCCTCCTTCCATTTTCTCTTTCTCCTTCCTATTTCTTTCTCTTCTTCGTCTATTTCTTTCTCCTCTCTCTCATTCCCTTATATCTCTCTCCATCTCATATTCCCGTATCACTCTCCTTTTCACATTCCCCTTATCTCTTTCTCCTATTACTTTATCTCTCTCCTTCTCCTATTTACTTTTTCTCTCTCTGTCTTCCTCTCTTTCCTTTTATATACCTCTCTCTGCCTTCCCATCTATCTTTTTTCTCTCTCTCCGTTATTCTCTAATTCTAATTTCTCTATCGGTTTTGCTCTTTTACTTCTCTCTCTCTCTCTCTCTTAGGATTACTTTTTCTTTTTTCTCTTTCTCTGTCTTCCACTCTTTCATTTTTCTCTCTTTCTCTATCTTCTCTTTTTTTTCTCCGTATTCCTCTCTTTCCTTTTTCTCTGTTTTACCTCTCTTTCCTTTTTCTCTGTTTTACCTCTCTTTCCTTTTTCTCTCTGTTTTCCCTCTCTTTCCTTTTCTCTCTGTTTTACCCCTCTTTCCTTTTTCTCTCTGTTTTACACCTCTTTCCTTTTTCTCTCTGTTTTCCCTCTCTTTCCTTTTTCTCTCTGTTTTCCCTCTCTTTCCTTTTTCTCTCTGTTTTCCCTCTCTTTCCTTTTCTCTCTGTTTCCCTTTTCCTTTTTCTCTCTGTTTTCCCTCTCTTTCCTTTTCTCTCTGTTTTCCTCTCTTTCTTTTCTCTCTGTTTTTCCTCTCTTTCCTTTTCTCTCTGTTTTCCCTCTCTTTCCTTTTTTCTCTTTTTCTCTCCTTTTCTCTTTTTTCCCTCTCTTTCCTTTTCTCTCTGTTTTCCCTCTCTTTCCTTTTTCTCTGTTTTTTCTCTCTTTCCTTTTTCTCTCTGTTTTCCCTCTCTTTCCTTTTCTCTCTGTTTTCCCTCTCTTTCCTTTTTCTCTCTGTTTTCCCTCTCTTTCCTTTTCTCTCTGTTTTACCCCTCTTTCCTTTTTCTCTCTGTTTTCCCTCTCTTTCCTTTTTCTCTCTGTTTTCCCTCTCTTTCCTTTTTCTCTCTTTTTCCCTCTTTTCCTTTTTTCTCTCTGTTTTCCCTCTCTTTCCTTTTTTCTCTCTGTTTTACTTTCCTTTTCTCTGTTTTACCCCTTTTCCTTTTTTTCTCTCTGTTTTACCTCTCTCTCCTTTTTCTCTGTTTTCCCTCTCTATTCTTTCTTTCTTTCTTTATTTTACCATTCCCCTTTTCTTCTTTCTCTCTTTCTGTTTACCTCCCTTTCCTTTTTTCTCTCTACATCTTTCCCTCTCTTCTACTCATTTTATCCTCCATCTTTATTTTCATTCATTTCTTTCCTAAAACAAAATTTTAATTGAGGTTATTAAATAGAAAAAAAAGCAAAAAAACAACCTGCTTCTCTGTCCAGTTTCAAAATCAACTCGATTTGTTATCGTATTTTCGCTAAAATATTAATATTAAACAAACAAAAAAAAAACATAAAAAAGTGGCAATAGACGCATTAAAGCTTAGAATATTAATAAAAACTTTCCCCCAAAAAATAAATGAATAATACTGAGTAAATTTAAGGAAAATCAAAATAAAATAACTGATTTTTAAGTTTTACCGATTTAACTTGAGATAAGTTATTCTTTAAAATTGTTTTTCGATTCCTTCCTTTTTTCTTCTATTTTATTTCGTTTTTTTTTGTTTTATTTTATTTTTATTACATTCTGAGTTATCGTTCTTGGCTGGCAAACGTCGGGAGTGTTAAATTTTCTACAGCTCTGGCGGGGGAAAAAAAAGCGGAGAAATCAAGATATGTATCTGCTCTGGAGGAGTTCGGGTCTGGGATGGTCGGGTGAAGGTTGTTGTTGTTGGAATGGCATTGAAGATGAAGGTCGAGAAGGGGATTGAGTATCGGACGTGTGTCGGGGCGAGAGGCGAGCGGTTCGCAGTGTTAAAGGCCGCAAATCGAACCGCTCTCATTAAGTGGTTTTCGAACGCACCTTTGATGGTCGGAGATCTAATCCTGAGTCCGACCCGGTTATCTCGTTTTTCATCTTCCATACATTAAAAAGGTCAATCATCTCGCGAGCAAGTTTTGTCTTCACATTTATTAGGAGAAGCGAGCGCACCCTCACAGCAGGGATTCTGGTGTGGTAACGAAAACGCTTAGATTATGTTTGTTTGGTGGATTAGATTAGCGATTTCCAGACTTTACCATATCATCACCCGGTTGTATATTTTACATATTTCCACAGCCCAAAGCAAAAAAAAAAAAATGAAGTAGGGGGCTAAATAGGATAAGCAAACAAAATTTCGATGAATAAAAGTTTTATTCGGATATTAAAAAAAAAAACTGCAGCTATTGGTTAAATAGCTGAGTAAAGTGCGATCATTAACCTTGGATCGTCAGTCTAAGAAAATGATTTCACTGATTCCGACTGTGTGCTGAAAGTTATTACTATCTTTCCCACGATTAAAGAAAAAAAATCTGCCTCGTCAGTCATGTATCGAAAGATACATGATCGCCTAAGCGTGTATCACGCATGGCACATAAGTGACTGAATCTGTCGAGAAGGCAACAGGAAACCTCTCCACTCTTTCCGAAGACATTATGGCAATTCACAGATAATAAAGAAAAGGAATGTGTGGATATGGCAACGGGAAACCACTCCACTATCTTTCCCGAGAAGCCATGCCAATTCACAGATAAAGAAAATGATTCTGTGGAGAAAAGCAACGGGGAAAAGACTCCACTATGTTTCCCAAGAAGTCATAAAAATTCACAGATAATAAAGTAATCTGTGGAGAAGTCAACGGGAAACCAAACGACTATATTTCCCAAGAAGTTATGGCAAAAAACAGATTCATTCTTTTATGAAATACACACATTAGCCGAAAGACCTCAGATAAAAAAAAAAATCCATTGAAGATATTTTGATAATTGAACAATGATGCTATTTATAGAAATAAAAGATAACGTGGGGGAGATGGAAACCTTTTGCTTCGATCTTTAAATTATTTAAATTTACTCCCACGGACAAAAGAAACTTATTAGTTGTGTAATTAGTATCTATATATGCATATCCGTCAGTGGGGGGCGCGTCGAAGTGTGATCTAATGCGAGCGTCCCTTAACTTTAGTAAGAGTCTTTCTCCCGCCCCGACCTTCCGTCGTTATCACCGTGCATATGTCACGCCGTCGTTGTGACTCGACACGTCCAATCTGTTAATGACATCAAAACCGACCAACAAACACCGCAACACGACTCTTCTTAGCGATTGTCAATTTAACCGTCGTTTCCCGACTCTAATATTTCACTTGTTCTCATTCCATATCTTTCCTCCTGCCGACTTTACACCCCGCCATCTTTCTTTTTTTTTTTTTTTTCTCTTAACATATCCAGATGCTTTTTTTTTTTTTTTTTTTTTTTTTTATTTTGCCATTCTGATCTTTCTGATTTCCTCGGCTTCTGGTTTTTCGCCTTTAAAAAGCTCCTGATGAAATCTGATCTCGCCTTTTGATTGGATTGTCTCGTCCTCGGTGCTCTTTTCATTATTACCATTTGCTGCTATCTGACGGGAACGGCTTTCGCGAGCAAAGTTGAAAACCGCCATTTGCCGCTCGCTTCGTATCAGTAATGGAGATTTCGTCGTTAACTGACAGCAGACGGTGACGAACGTCGCTCAGTGACGACACTTATTGGCTAACGTCTGTCTGTTAGCCAACTTCTGTTCCTACTTTTCTGTCATAGCACAAGACTAGCTGTGCTAATCCTTCTTGAAAGATTTTAGTTTTCCTTACCCACCGGACTAACAACGCCCTATATTTTCCTTTTGTCGATTACACTTAAGTTTCTAGCTGACTTTCTAAGATGAGGAATTATCAACACTTGCATAGTAACCGTCAAAAATAACAAGCTCATTTTGGTATGGATTGGCAGTTCTGCCTCATACTGGAATAACTCTTCAAACTGCCTACAATCGTCTATCAGCACATTTGATTTCTTCTTTATCTGCCGTTCCCCCCAAGGACGTAGGCGATCATAGCTGGCTACAATCTCCTGTCCTTTGTAGCTTTAAATAAATTCTATCTTTTTGTAATTTCTCCTAAAACTAGTTCTGCCATCCATTTACTCAAACTACTTCTTGTTCATGACGTTGGCGATCATAGCTCTCCACAATTTCCTATCATCTGTAGCTCTTAATCTTTTTTTTTTATTATCTCCCAAACACTGTTCCTCCATTATTTACTCAACCCAATTCTTCTCTTTTATGTGCCGTTTTCTGGATGTTGTCATGGCTCCACTTTTCCGGACATTTGTGGCTCTTGTCTTTTTTTATCTCTCCCAAACACTGTACCTCCATTAGTTTACCTATCATCTGTGTCCTTCAAGAAATTGCTCTTAATTTCCCTAATCTGTTTTTTGCCTTTTTAGTTATCTCTCCTAAACTGCGTTCCGCCACTTATTTACTCAACCCAATTCTTCATCTTTTATGTGCCGTGTCCATTCTGGATGTTGACGATCATGGCTCTCCACTATTTCTGGACATTTGTAGCTCTTAATCAGTCTTGTCTCTTTTTTTTTTTTTTTTTTTTTTTACTCTCTCCTAAACTATAACACCATCCATTTACTCAAGCTCATTTTTCTTCTTTTATGTGACATGTCCCTTCAGGACGTTGGTGATCATGGCTCTCCATAACCTGCTGACTTTTGTAGCTCTAAATAAATCCCGTCTTTTCGTTATTTCTCTTAAACCCTTTTGGCGTCCATTTACTCGTTAACTATACTATATGTTGTTATCCTGTTCCCATCAAACTGCCCTGTGAGTATCAGATTTCCCAAGCCCTCTTTTCTAATTATGTTTCCCACAAAAATTCAACTGTTTCTTCCTGAGTTTAAGTATAAGTTTCCTTTTTGTCTCCATTTTCTCTAAAACCTCATCGTTGCTCACATATTAGGCTCAGTTTCGTTTAATAGCCAAAAAAATTTTCGTCACTTAGCGTCTTCCATAGTTTACCTTTCCTTTACACAAGACGTTTTGAGTATAATTTAGAAGTTTTCTAATTTTAATTCCTCCCACATTACTTCTGTGTATAGCCCAGTTCACACACCTCCCCAGTATTTTGAACAGGAGTAAAGGTTTATCCCTTGCTTCCGGTTTAGGATTGGCTTCACTCTAACGTTTGCTTCAACTGTATACTTCAAACGTCTCAGCTTAAACTCGGAAACTTTATTTAATTCTTTCGTAGCAGAAGTATATACTTATCCCTTGTTTCCTGTTCAGGATAGGGTTTTCGGTTTCTGCTAAACTCTTCTTATTCCCCCCACACCAGTAACACCTTGCGTCTTAGGGGTATTGGTTGGAGTGAATTGATGCAAAAAAAAAAAAACACAGGTTACTAAATTAAAACTTTAACACTTGCACTATTTACATTATTCGGACTATTGTCCTCATCTTTGTCGCCATATTTATTACAACGTTTCGACCGTTGTATGCTCCGGCCCTCTTCAGGTGGTTGAAAACTTTATTTCGCTCACTGGTGTAGATTGTTCTAGTTCCACGTGGATGTCAGTTATCAGTTATCTCCTGTTAGTTTCCCTCTCCAAGTTCTCCACTGCCTTAACTGAATATTGAACTCACACTCTTTGGGTCCTGTCACTGGATCTAACCAACGCCTTTTCCCACTGTGCACTTGAGGACATCTGTGTATGAATTTCTGGGTATTACAAACCTAGTGTCTTCAGCAATCATTTTTTACCAGTGCTCATATTGGAATTTTTGCTCTTATCATTTATGTTTTTACCAGAGCTCATATTGCAATTTTTGTTGTTATTATAGCTTTTCTCTGACACTCCTTATTACTGGTTCCCATATTGTATTCATTTCTATGCTTGGTCGTCTCAGGAGATTTAACACTTGCCTTGATAAAAACTTCTACACTTACCTCAAGAAATGAAACACGTTGGTATAAAAGGAATTCCTCTTGTCGTTTTTTTAATATAATAATTTATCCTTAATTTTAAAATGATTACTTATTTTCATATTTGTTTCTTTCTCTCCAGGGCATAGCGGTGTAAATCAGCTGGGAGGTGTATTCGTTAACGGACGTCCCCTTCCAGACTCGACTCGTCAAAGAATAGTGGAGTTGGCCCATAGTGGGGCTCGACCCTGCGACATCTCTCGTATACTCCAAGTCTCCAACGGCTGCGTTAGCAAGATTCTCGGACGGTACTATGAGACGGGCTCCATAAGGCCGCGCGCGATCGGGGGCAGCAAGCCAAGAGTGGCGACCCCGGAAGTTGTGCAGAAAATAGCCCAATTCAAGAGGGAGTGCCCCTCGATATTCGCATGGGAAATTAGGGACCGATTGCTGTCAGAAGGAGTTTGCACACAGGATAATATACCAAGTGTAAGTATAACAGCTTTTTTAATACACACACACATACATACATACGTTGTCGGTTTTTTAATTTAATTTAAGTCAGCGATTCAGTACTGAATTATGCATCGGAAAATAATTCAAATTTATCTGTATCTCACTCATTTAAACCGTCATTTAACTCCTCTCTTCAAAACTTCTCCCTGTCAAATTTTAATCCCCACCTTCACTTTTAGGACTTCCTGTTCTTCTTTCGTCTGTTACCCCTCTCTCTAGAGCTTTCATGTACTTCTCACATTCCTCCCCCACTCTCATACATACACTCTCACTAAATTTTATTTTTTATTCCCGGAGTTATTTTTTCCGATTTCTTTGTCTGATGAATTGGATCGTAATTACGATTCCAATGGAATAAATTATAACCATGGAATATTAGTGTTTGAGCCTTTTATATTGTTACTCTGTCCTGTATATTGAGTTCTACCTGGATTCTATCCTCTTGGGAATTTTTATATATAGTCATCCACAGACAGACTGTTTCTCATCAGTGTGGCTAGATGTCCGGTGGCCTCTAGCGAGGATCGAAACCCGACTGAATTGGCGTCAGTCGGGGATTCTACCACTAAGCAGTTGAAGGTAAATTTAAGCGTATTTATTTTTAGATAAACACACAGTGACTGAGAGAACTCGATTCGATTTACCGAAGAGTCTTGCATTATTAGCCGTAATAGTCACTGTTTACAAACCCACACTTCCTCTCCAGAGAGCTCAACCGAAATAAATTTTTCAGGAGCATATATATATATATATATATATATATATATATATATATATATATATATATATATATGAGTGAGAGTGATAAACTAAGTCAATTGGCAGATATTTTAATCATTTGCAATACAAATGTATATTGATACAGATTAATCGCTTATCAAATTCAAACGATATAACATATTGGCTTACAAGGTTTCGTTTCGTTCTTTATTTCATCTTTTCGATCGTTCCTTCAATCAGCTTCAATTCCTGTACCTTCTTTCCGTTTCTCTCTCTCTCTCGGTTTGTAGGTGTGTCTTTCACTCTAGTTACCCTGGCCAGATCAGTAGAGGAATAGTGTGTCCTAAGTGTTTTCTGCGACATCTCCGTTCTCGTTTCTGCGCCAGATATTCAATTAGGGCCGCTGTGTGTCTGAA